AGCAACCAGAATCAATAATTGCTTATGTAAGAGAGCTATGCTTGTCCCTCAAGGTTCCCATAAGGGATTCTTAAGTAGTGGCTAAAAATGGCAGAAAATACTGAAGAGAACACACACAGAGAGCATGCAACATTAGCAACACAGACTATTTATACAGGAAGCTGTTATAAGTAGTAGAAAAATATCCCATGTCATTGTGAAAATAAGAGGTTTCCCTTAGGATTTATTTAAAATTAGTCTAAGTAATTGAGCCATACAAAAGATACAGAAGTCACATTTCAACACCTAGGAAGCTACACTATTAATTGGTAAAATCAAATATAAAGAGGATAAACAAGCTGAGATCAAACCTTATGATTCTTTGTGCAATTGTGAAGACTTAATTTCAGGATACGAATGTACTCAAAGAGTATTTTGTAATTACAAACCAATAAGAAGATCCAACCAGGAGGAATAATTATATAATTTCTGCATGGCTTCATTGTGCGAGGCTTAGAGAATTGCAATAAATAGATTCCTCTATCATTATGACTGCTACTGGCAATGACTCACCATTACAACTGGGACCACATCCTAGAATAGTTCCCCCCCCCCCTTGGTGTATCATATAAAAAATTAAGCAGACTATAGTTCCAAGTAACTTAAAAATTTTGTAGAAAACCCTGAAACTTGATTCCATTTCTGAGATTCTTGCCAGTAACAAGGTCAGCAATAGAGTTATGATACAAGAAATTTCTGTTTTGAAATGGTTTCCATTTGCCTTAAAGTGCTGATCTTAACTGGTAGGAAACTAATTTATATTTTCGGTGACCTGTGATTCATGAATATTTATGAGAGCAAAATGCCACCTGTGTAAATAATTGGGGTTCAGTTCTTAAATTCTTGAGACTAATGCTATAAATCACATTAAGAACCATTTAATTTGCATGAGTTTCAATCAGTGAATATTATAACAGCCTCATTATAAACCTGCCTATTATTAATAAGAAATGATGGCATGAAAAGTCTAAAAATCTAATAGATCAAAAAGAAGCAACATGACAACACAAGTTACTCAAAAAATAAAAATACAAATCTTAAGCTTTTGATCATCCATTAATCTCAATATGAGTCAAGAATTTATAAATGCTCTCTGAGTTACATGTATTTAATCAGTTCCATTACTAATTCCAGAAATGTGGTGGCTGGATTAAAAAAAAATGTAGCATTTCTTTTCAGTACAACTCTTAGTAATCTTTCACCATACAGTGGGCACAGCCTTGAATTTTTTTTTGCCCGAAGACATAACAAAGCACTAAAGGACAGCTAGGGTGATCAGTCCATTATAAGGCATGCTGTAACACAGAATCTTGTTCATGTTTACTCTGTAACCTATCTTACTGTTTAAACTCCCATGAAAGAGTTTGAAAGACAAATGAAACCCGTTCTTGATCACACAGCCTCTGAATTTTACACATGATGAGATTAGTTGCCCTATGGCTAATCAGCTGTGTCAACAAAAGCCACTCTCAGATTTATATTCCAACTCTGCCACTCACCTGACTCCTCCCCTGTGATAAATTGCTAAAAAGGCATATTTCTGAACCAAGCCAGCAGCTGGCAAAATGAATTCAAGGTCATTATAATAGGTGAACTGCATTTTCCAATATTACTTATTATTATCCCTTTCGAAGGATTGTGTTAAGATAGAAAATGATCCAGAAGGCTTGGTACAGTTAGCCTGACCTGAGCTTCTTGCTGTGTCCTCTACCTTCCTTTTTAGGGTTAGTAGCACCCCTCCATTCTTTGGTCATTGGGCTCTACTTCAGATGAGATGCTGGGACATGGAGTTGGGCCACCTTGCTCCTTTAGATGTTTTGATCTGTTTTCTGTGCCAAATAGCTTCCTGTTGTTGGTTATTGAAACTAGTTCATAACTGCATATCTCTGGAAAATTTTGAATTTTCCAGAAGAAAATTGGATTGGGAGGAGAAACAAAGAGGGGCTTCTGAGAGAATATGCCCTGGTGTGAGGAAGCCTGGGTGCAGGCTATGAGGAGGATCCATTGTCTAGGGAAAAGGAGAGACTATGCCCCATCATTTGGAAGCCACATTGTCACCCTTACCCAACTAATGCCTTGATTTCCAAAATGTTGGTTCAGCTCCCCCTCCCAACCCTTCCCTTTGTCCCTGTAATCAGTGAATGTCTATAAAGTCACTTGCTAGAGAGATGTTGCTGCATACTTAAAAAGTATGCCTTGAAGAGTAACAGCAGAGAAAGTTTCCCTGAATGCAGAAGAATACCAGGGGAGGCATCAGGGCATGGACTCCAGGGAATAGGTTAAAATCTGACTAGAAAGGACTATTTGCTAGTTGGACAACTTTTGTTTCCTTTTTTTCCATTGGAAAAATAGGGACATCAATAAGAATGCCATGTTTCATAGCATTGTTGGGATGATGAAATGGAATGAAAGCTATGAAAGTATGTTGTAACCTGTAGAGAACTGTAAGCAGGTTAATAAATATCACTATACGGTGGGAGTGAGCAATCAATATTATGTAAAGTTCTTATCAGCAGAGTACTTGCTTCGTGCTACTTACTGTAGTTGCCACTACTTTGTAGTTATTGCAGGGCGGGGAATGCAGTGGGTGAGTGCGAAGGGTGAAATATTAATTGCAAAAAGCAAAAATTTTATAAGCAGAATGGTATTAAAAACATTAAAACATATAAGCTTAAGTAGGGAACTAGAAGAAAATATATCAAAATGTTACCAGTAACAAACACCCTGTGGAGGAATTATAGGTTTAGAAGGGAGATGTATTGGAATGTCTGTCTCCACTCCCAAGTCCACTTGGATGCAATGGAAGCAACTTTGCCCTTTCAGCAGAATCTTCTACCTGTCCTGGGCTATGCATTGACCTAAATTGGGCCCACAAATCTCTTTCTGAAGAATCTAGGTATGGAATGGTGAGAGACTATGATAAGTAGTTGTTTGTTTGTTTGTTTTTCCTGCATAGGTGGGGCCATAAATTCTAAAACTTGAGGGATTTGGTCGTATTTTCTGTTACACAGCTAAGAAGACTAGACTATCCAAGATGGTTGAGAACACAGCAGAAGCATAGAGAAGATCAGGAAGAGACTAAAAGTGAGTCCTAATGGTCTCTGAGGCTTTGGAAACATGTGCTCTCCTACCCATAGATTCTCTGAGACACCTCATGATACCCGCAACAAATGCCACTTTTTGCTTTATCCAATTTGAATTTGTTTTATGAGTATTTTACCAACTACAAGGAAAATTTTTTCTTTATGACTTTTTGTTATTTTTATAAATTTTCCACAGTGGACACACATTTCTTTTATAAATGGAAAAAAAAATATTAAGTTATGGACGTGAGAGATGTAGAAAAATAAGATCTGGAGTCTCCGATACCAGCTATTTTTAATTTTCTCAGAAGAGAGCTGATATAGATGAGGTTTAAGAAATGACTTCTATATCCAGAGAATACTAGAAAAGGAAACTGGGGCCCAAGGCAGAAGAGTAGCCACTTGGTTTGTTCTTAAGTCTCCAGATTCAAATTAACATTAGTGACATTAATAGGGTATTAATATAAAGCCACAGCCTACTTGATCTCCACTCACATTCTTCTTGCAACTGCGTATTTCTTACAGCAGTCATGGACTTGATCCAAAAAAGCTCTTTGCAGAAAGTATTAAAAGCAATGTGATTTCCTTGGCTTGCTCTCTTCACTTGGTTCAAGCACACTCCACAGAATTTTGCCAACTCAACAGAAACCTGTTCCTTTCTATTCCAGTGAAACAGAAGTAAAATTTGAACAGAAATATATAGCATTCAGATCTTCTTTTTCTTTCTTAGATTAAGTGCTAGTGAATTTGAATATTTTCAGGATAAATTATAGGTTGTAGGGAATTCTAAATTTTGTCTATGAACTGCATGTCTGCTTTCCTTAAAATCTTATATTTATTGTTCTTTCTTTTTTTAAAAATTTTGATCTTTGGAGGGAAAGAACAAATTTACACAAAACAGAGGAGCCAAGAAACAAATAGAGTATTTAGTAGGAACTGATGCCCTTTGAGATTTATGTTCTCTCATAGTAGCACAGAAAAAGATCAAAGAGTTAGTCCTGCACCATAGTTTAGGTGAGAAACATGATTTCTGAGTAGTATTCTATTTTATTTATTTTTTTTAAAGAGAGAGTGAGAGAGGAGAGTGAGAGAGAGAGAGAATTTTTTAATATTTATTTTTTAGTTCTAGGCAGACACAACATCTTTGTTGGTATGTGGTGCTGAGGATTGAACCCGGGCCGAAAGCATGCCAGGCGAGCGCGCTACCGCTTGAGCCACATCCCCAGCCCCAGTATTCTATTTTAAATAAGCATATATATGATGTGTGTCTCTGGCTGGTATTTTTTATTCCCTTTAACAATAGGAAAGTCTGCTGCTAGTTATAAGAGAGTAACATCTGAAGGTTATTTTGCTTTTTGACTGGGAGAATTAAGTTGATTTATCATCTGTTATGGCCAAGAAAATGTCTCTAGGCTGCGTGTACAATTAGACACAGTCCCTTTTCAAGTGCAAAAAAGAGGGAAAAAACACAAGCTTTTGAAATACATTTTTTATTCTAAATAAAGATATCTAATTTAGGCCTTAAGTGGGAGATTCACAAATATCTATACCTTCCAGCTGCATTGAAATTAAATTACCAAGAGTGATATTCCTATTTGGCAAATTCAAGAGGGACTACAGCAACACAATTGGGTCCAGATTTCAATCTTTGAAATCTGATTTAGCAAAGTCAATTACTGGCCTGACTTCAAATTGCTATGGTTTTCACTCCTTTAAAAAAAAATGTTTTCTTTATTCCCGACTCCTGCTTATGCTTTTTAATTTTGCTGTTTTTATGTTCCATTTGCTTCTTCTTGTTGTTGTTGTTGTTCTTTTTACTTTCCATTTAGCAAATTAGCAAGATTTTCATCTAAATTAGAAATGTCAGAAGCAAAGTACCTGCAGAATTCTTTTGTTCACACTGGGACAACTGATCTTCCCTTGCAGTGTTGTGCTGGCCTGAGGGTCACATCCTTCTGCAGAAGTCCTTAGTGTCTGAAGCTTTGACCACATCACAAGATGAGGACTGAGAACCTCCTATGCCCTAGGCAGCATCTGTCTGGGAGAGCAACAATGTCTGAGTCCCAGCACTGTAGATTGTCAGATGCAGAAAAAGGCCTATCACATCATTCTCTTGCTTTAGAATGAAGTAAATAAGATCTAGAGAAGAAAAGTGTCAAGCCTCAGGTTATGTAGTTTGTGGAGAGCTGATCCTGCACTCAGGGTTCCTGGATTCCTGTGTAGAATTCTTTCTCATCCCATCTGGCCTTGGCAGGCAGTAATCAATCTTCACTTTCAAAGCTATATACTTTTTTTTTTCTTTTTAAAACTTAATTCCCCCCCAAAAAAGCAACACGTTCTCAGAGACTTATAGCTTTGTGTCATTATCAAGTAATCAATATCACTCTTGAAAAGAAATTCAATAAAACGTTCTATCAAAGAGTTTCAGCTGAGTCTTGCAGGGGTCCCTTAAGTCCATGGAACGTACTGGTTTTGGTCATCCGACTCTTACTTACAAGATAGGCAAAGAAAAAGAGTCCCGAAGGTAGCAGTAGGCAATGAAGTTGCCAAGACACCAACAGTGCTGTGAATCTTACGATTTAGGTGACATATTTTCATTTTACAGAAGAGAAAGCTGAGGTTAGAGAGGCTAAGTCATTTTTCATAGGATCTGCATGGGAAAGCCGTGGCAAAGCTAAGATCTCAACTAGGAACACTTGACTGCAAAGCTCATGTTCCTTGAACCAAATGTTTGTAAACCAAGTAAAAAGACAGGGAAGGAGCTCTTTAGAAAGATCTAAAATTTTATTCACTGCTTTTAAAGTCTCTGACATAAAAAATTTCCTGAATAATTCCTCTGGCCCTTAGACAGTATTCTCCCTGGAAGGTCAAGTAGTTAAAGGATTCCTTTTAGTCATGTTGTTAATAAATAAAACCATGTTATTTAGACCTTTGGTTGCATTTGTCAGTCAAAGATATCACTGATTTTCTCTCCCCGCTAGGGAAATATTTTACAAGGTCATGTGTGCCCTGGAAAAAATATAAATTTTTCAGAGTAGTTCTGTTCTCCTGGTGCCAGGGAGACTTTTTATTGGCTCCAGAAGGTCGCCTTAGTCACATCTCAGTACATTTGTCATTATCAGATTGCTCATCAGAAGAGATCAAGCATTAAACTCCAAGCAGTAAGCTTTGCACCATTGATTGTTCATTTTGGGAAAGTTGTTTTTAGATACATTTTTAAAAGATGTGCAACTAATGGATAACAGAAATGTTCCTGAAGAGACAAGTGTAAATCAAAGTTGGGTTTAAATTTTTTTAAAATTCACAATTAAAATTATTAATAGTCATGATTCACAGTTACATAGAGTTCAATAGTTGACTAAATATTTTCATGTATATAATCTCATTTAATTCTCACAAACACTCCTTCAGTAAAATCCAAGCACATGTGGATATGTTATAAATTGAGCTAGGCCCTGGAGATAGGAAAATAAATAAATTAAAAAATGGTCTTTTTCCTCAAAGACCTTACTATTAAAATTACTATCATCTTCTGTAACATATGAGGTAAGTAAGGCTCAGAAGTTCCAATATACATTTTCATTGACTCCTTTTATAACCAGGGCTGAACCTGGGGTTGTTTGGTAACTCAAGTTAACTGTCTTTCTACCTAAGTTCTGTTTAGCCTGAGAGTAGAAACTTACAGTGAAGCAGGCATGGACATATTTCATTCAATTATTTTCTTTAATTATTGTTTTGGGTTCATAATTTTTATAAATTTGGAATTTTTAAGAAAATGTACACTTATAATCTCTCTTGCTATCAATACAATGCTTTGCATTTCTATTGATAAAAGAAAGTATTATCATTACATGTTGGCTTAATAAATAGAAACAAAATCCAATTTTAAATATCTAAGATATTCAGCCGTGTACTTTATAGGGCATTAATAGCTACGTATGCCTATATATATATATTATTCTAGGTCTCACAGCTATGACGATGAAGACCTGCAGAGAGCCATGTGTGCAAAAGGCAGGTTACAAAAGGACAAGATAAAAAGAAATGATGAAGAAAGATTCAAGGAATTTGGCTTTGTGGTGAAAGATGAATAGCATCTTGATGGCAGTTTTCATGTACATGAGGAGGTATTGTACTCTTTGTTTTTTTTACCTCTAAGGACAGGCAAAATGAGTTCAAACTGAAGCCCTAGGGATTTAGATTAGCTATGAAAAATGATTTGCTGACAGGTGAGATCCCAGTTACTGGAACAAGATACCAAGAGAAGTTGTGGACTCTCTCTTAAAAAGAAAAGAAAAGAAAGATTTCTAATTTCTTTTTTAAGTTTCAAATGTGACATGGCCCTCGGCAGAAAGTTGGACTACAGGGCTCCAAGTTTCCTTCCAGCTTAATGATGATTACTCTGATGTCTTCAGCCATGCAAAGCATTTTTGCATGGTGTACCCAGCCTCCCTTTTACTTCCCATATAAGAATTCTGTAGAAGTAGTATCTTCAATTTATGGGTTTTTTCCAAAGGTCAGCTACAGTCAGTTTAAAGGTGCCTTTATCATTGTTTCTAAAGGTTACAAGACTGAATGTAGGAAATTGCTAACATTTTAAAAACTGTTGTCTCTTTCATTCATTAAGTTTCATAATGACCCTAAATCATGCAGAATCCAGTGGAAATTGTTATTTTAAAGCTCTAAGATGAGAATATCCACTTGCAAGTGTCCCCCAAGTTTCAGGCTTTCTCTCACCAAGTTAAAAAGATCTTGGTCTTCAGAGGATGATTGGAAGCCAGGGACGCAAAGATGAATGGGCAGGAATGGATACCATGAACCCAGGACATTATTTCACTCAGTCATGGGTTTGAAAATTAAGAAATACACTCAGGTATTGTAAGGAATTGTGCAGGATCATACAGCTTAATAAGTACACATTCTACATTAGAATTCCTGTCTTTTGGCTTCCTATACAAGGACTGTTTAATAAAATGTAGTTTTCATTTTTGAAGACCAAAAGAAAAGCAATTTTTAAAAAACCCTCATATTCAAAATATATCCAGATGTTTTAAAGGTCAATTAACATGAAATTCCTTTCGGAAGCCTCTGATTTTCTCTCCATCTGATGATCATAAAATCAGGTATCTTCCTGTACCAACAGACATATATCAGTCATTTGATTAATATGCAACTACGTACGATATTGTAGTTCTGTGTACAAATATAATCCATATCTTTTCTTATGGGTTTTCTATGTCAACTTGCCAATTTTCTATAACTGTTAAAAGTAGGCTTCAGAGGTAGAAAAAAACTCTGATTTGACCTCAAAATTTTCACATCCAAATAGCTGTATGACTTGGAGCAAGTAACTCAACCTTTTTTGTTTCTTCTTCTGAAAAATGAGGATAAGAATATTTACCTGGACTGAGTGAGGTATTAGGATGTGCTAGGTGCTCAACACAGCAAGGGCAGGCACTGAGCACTCAGTAAACTATAGTAGCTGCTGTTGTTACTATTGTCATTGTCATGGACCTCAACACTCAGAAAGTTACCCTGAAAGAATAAGCCAGGCAGCCTTTCTAGTAGGCATAAAGGATAAAGGTTCTTAGAACAATGGAACTTTCTTCTACAGCTCTGAAAGCCATGCCTCCATTGTCAAAAGAATATTCAGTTGAAAAGACATTTCCTGTGTTTCCGGAGGACCTAATACATGCCAGAGGAAGGAGAGGATCCTGCTCTTTAAGGATTTCATGGCTCAGAAGTCAAACAATCATCTACAGAAACAAATACAATATGACATAGAAAAGAAGAGTCAGGACAATGCACAGTGAGAGGGAGCTAGAAGAACAGGAAGGGTGTTGGGCAGAATAAGGAAAGGTTTGCCAGAGACTGTGAACAGTCCAACTGTGTCTAAATTCTAAGCAAAATAACAAGGGATGATGATTACTAAGCAGCTTTGTTGTTAAACTGAAATTTTATTGACAAAAACAAGTCGCTGATCAAGTTAGCTACTTAACTGCCTCATCTCCATTCAATTGGGCTGAAAGAATCACATCTTCTATAGGGAGTGGGACAGAGTGAGACAGAGAGAGGCAGAGATATTTGGGGCACCAAGCCCTTAAACATATACACGTACATATAGTATTTACAGTATTTATTGAGTCAGACTTTTTCAGTGAATTTGCATTTCATGGGGAAAGATAATCGGTGGGTCATTATCAATGTGAGAAGGCCATTTTATAGCATCCTATTTTTACTAAGAGGACTCCTCAAAGACAATCATGCAGGTAATGTTTTCAGATCTCCACTTTTGCTTGCATGTGAGTTCTCGTTCTTACCTTGATGAAAGACACATAAAGAGGGTCATTACTGATATCCCCAGGGATTCTATTGACTGGATTATCTGATTATATGGCTCATGTTTACTTAGATGTGAAGTAAGATTTTAAATTCTGCTAACTTTTAAATAAATGTGGTTAAAAAAACTTACTAATAAAGTGCTCAACAGATTAAGCCTGTTAAATAAAGTTCTGCCCTTAAACCACCCGCATTCTCTGTAATAAACCATTATATTAATAACCCCAAATAGATGGTTAAATGTTTAAAGCATTAAATGCTTATGATGATACAGCTTGCAAAATGTATTAACACATAAGACATGATCTTTCTCCATTAGGCAGAGGAATCTGTATATAAGAATTAAGGGCTCCCAATGTAACATGCAGTATCATTTTTCAGAGCATATACTACAATAGCATATAAGTCAAAATCACAGCAACAATGAGATAAAAAGATTATATGGCAAAGTAAGTTCTAATCAGCATATGTATTAGTCATTTCCTTTGAAATAACTTTCCTGAGACTATTTGAAAACTCACAATGAATATAAACATATTTCAATTAATTGATTTTAAATGATAAGTAAATTTGGAAATAATTTACCAGATTAACATCTTAAAATATTATTATATTACTATGAAAACACACTAAAAACACCATTCTGAACTCATAATAATAATATCTCTCTCTCTCTCTCTTTGAACCAGGGATTGAACTCAGGGGCACTCAACAACTGAGCCACATGCCCAACCCCCCTTTTTTGTATTTTATTTAGAGACAGATCCTCAATGAGTTGCTTAGCACCTCTCTTTTGTTGAGGTTGACTTTGCACTTGTGATCCTCCTGTCTCAGCCTCCTGAGCTGCTGGGATCCTAATGATAACCTTTAGATAGCACTTCCTTGCTTTGCCCTGAGAAGCACTACTGGTGCACCAGAGAAGGTGAACTTCCTAGAGAAAGTGCCTTTTTAATTAACTAAAGGGTGATGGGCATACTTTTTCAAGCAGAGAAATTCCCAAGTCAGTCCTCAATCTTCTTTCATTCAGAGCTGCCTGCTAGTAAGTACAGTTCATTCTACCCCACAGTATTTGGAGAATCTTTTCCCTCCTTTACATTTTGTCTTATAATGACTGAAAGACCTAGGAAGGCAGAGAATTTAGTCAGTCTGTTATTACTATATTCTCAGACTTAGAAGAATGCCTAATTGATGGTTGATATTCAATAAATATATTTAAGCAAATGAATGAATTTATAATAGTCTCAATTTATTGTTCTCTCAACCTCCTCCCTTCCTGTGGAACCTCCTAATTGGCATCAGGAGCCAGGTTTTCTTTTCTCTTTCGCACCTTATACAAGACTGCTTAACCTTGTATAAAGCACAGATTTGTTTCATTCCTTTGCTTGAGGCATTTAAATGCAAATGCCTCATTATTATTAGAAACTCCTCAGGCTGGCATGCTGGCATATAAGAATTGCCACTAATGGACCTAGCCTGCCTTTCACCAGATCCCAGTCTTCAAACAGTACTGTGTCCCTCCTGTCAGCCCTCGGACCATCTTGTGTATTTGATTCTGTTCATGCAGGTGTCTTGGCCCAAAATGGTCTTACCATCACCTTTAACTATTGAGCTATTACCAGCTCTTAAATATTTCTCTTGAAATGCTCCCTCATTCAAGATCCACTGTCAGGTGCCATTGTCTATGATATCCCTAAGGATATCCCCATCTGTGTTATGCACCTTGTGATACAGTCAATGCCTAGATCCCCGTCTTATCCCCAGTTTGCTAAGCTTCCTGAGTCCAACAATTATGTACTACTTATCTTTTACCCTAAAGCACCTACCACATGTAATAAATGGTCATTACATATCTGCTATATTGAAATGATTTCAAAAGGGAGGTCGTAGGATCGGATAAAATGGTCATCATTAAATTAGTTACTTGTATTCACTGTCTCTATAGCTTAATTAGGAAAATGAAAGTGATGATGTTTTGTAAACTTTAAAGAACTATAAAGATTGAGTTGTTTGAATCATATGCCACAGAGCTGGTTGCACGAATAAGAAATCAAAGCTACTTAGTTATTGTCTTTCCCTGCTATTTCTGGTGGAGAATGGGGAATAGAGTAAGAGATCATTTCCCTTTCCTCAGCAGCCAAATTTCCCAGCAGAGGAGACATTAACATTCGAACATACTTTAACACCAATGCTCAGTCATGTCACTAAAATGCTATGTGACAGGATTTAGAAAAATTCCCTATCATATTTTGAGGATTAGAGTTTATCATGCATTTAATGTATTAAGCTCATCAAGAAGCTTTGGTTTAGTTGTATAATTTTTAAAAAAGAAAACAAATCTCCAAATAAACAAAAAACCTTTCTTGGAAAACACTGTAACTCCCATCTATGCTCCTGTCATTGTCTATGGGGGGCCCCTATTTAACACTCAGGTCAAGAGGCTGCATATGAAGAGGAGAGGAGGGAACTGTACTGGGGATTAGTTTGGCTAGTGGCCCTGTCTCAAGGGAAGCTATTTCCCAGGCCATTTTATGCTTCAGATACTCCTGATTTTAGAGACAAGCTGGATACAGGTTATGATATCTGAGAATCCTGGACAAATGGGGCTCATTGGGATATAATCTGATTTCAGAAGGGCTTACGCAATTCACATTCCTTGTCTGAGGCTTTCCCACATTGCTGGGTAACTGATGATATTTCTTTTCTTCTCTTTCTTGCTTTTTTTTTTTTTAATGCAGGAAAGAAGAAAACATCTGCCCATTATCTGAGACAACAGAGCAGCCACCTCTTTGGAGTGAGGGCTGGGTTATGAATCAGTGTTTATCTGCTTCTTCCTTTCATTTACGTGCAGGTTTACTAGACACCCTGGGCTGGTTTGAAACCTCCCAATGACGTCAATGGAGCAGAGAAATTGGAGCAGCGGAGACAGCTGCAATGCACCAAGTCTACTGAGGTTTTATTCTTTTCTCCCGGGGTGACATCTGAGACAGATATTATCAATCAAGCCCTCCTGGCTCAGCACCAAATCAAAGGCACTTTATCATTCAAAGCAGTAAAAGCTGCAATTAGAGGATCTGTTCAGCTTTTTTTTTTTCCCTAGGAATATTTTGTTCATGACAATTAATAATGCAATTAAAACTGAATTAAACAAGAGAATGCTTGCTAAAATATTTAATTTAAATATGGGAGCAACTTTCTTTAACGTTTCATTTATTAAATTATTAGACTCTTCTGTACATGTTTTGTATAAAAATTTCAAAACAATCAAAATACTAACTTTTCCAAAAATACAAACAAACGCCACATGATCAACTTAAACCAGTATCCAGGAAATATCCACATGTCTAATAATAAAGAAAAAAATCAAAGTACATATATAGCATAGCTTTACTGTCATTTAAGAGACAAGTACAACAACAACAACAACAACAACAAAAAACCTGTGACAAGTGACAGGAAGGAAACTAGTATTCTGCGAATTAACATTTTTTTCACAAACATTCAAAATCAAACCAAAAAGAAGAAAGCAAGCAGAGCAGAGCCAACTGCTTTTTTTGTTTTGTTTTTCCGTTTTGTTTGTTGAGAACAACATATCATTTACTGACTTTTCAAGCTCTCTTCTTAGTTATAGTTTTACTTGCTTGAGTATTTAATAGCATATTGAAATCTAAAAGAATATAGCACTTAATCTAATTATATAGTTTTAAGGACAAGGTCTCGACTCTGTCTCTTTTCTTCTCTAATTTTTTTCAAGGAGGTAACACTAAACTACTAAGGATATGCAAGGCCAATCTGAGCAATAACTAATAAACATCCTTAAGGCAAATTTTTTTTTAAAAGTTACCCAGGAGAGGTAGGCATAGAACATTCCCACCAAAGAAAAGGATACAGAACCAACTGCAATCCCTTTCCTTATTTTTTTTTTCCCCTGGAGTGCCTGTTAGCATACAGTGCTGGGGACAAAGTAAGTGAAAACCGTAACAGAGACAGGACTCGGGTAAAAATATGGGAGGAAACATCAATGTCATTCTCAAGGTTTGGTAGCCAAACTGAA